GGGTTCACACTCTGCATCAATCTCCCCCAGTGCTGGAGAATTTCATTATATATATATACATATACATATACATATACACGTATATATACATACACACACACACATACACATAGATACCTATTTCAAGTCCCTCGTTGTCTGTTGCTGGTTGGCACAGTGCTTGCACTCATGAGGGTACTCACGGGAAGCATTTGAGCTGGTGGTAGTAACATACATGTTTAATTTCAAAGGATGGAAGGGCAGCTCTTGTAACTGTGTGTGAAGACAGAGTGATCATTAGTAGATGTTTATTGAAGTTTACCAGCTCTGCAAAAATGGATTTCTCTTTGCCATCGGACTTAATTTGTCGGTAATTATGTTCCTAATATAGAAATCATTTGGCATTTATTTGCCATAATAAAACTTCCCATTGAATTTAAATTCAATGTGAAGATTTAAGTATATTTAGGAGACACAGCTGAAGACCTGAAATTAAATATTCCTGGCTTCCTTTTCCAAACAAGACAAACTCAGATAAATGCTAGCAGTCAGATCCATGTGTGAAGATCTGTGAGCAGGAGCAGCTGCATATGCACACTCAGAGAGAGATGGTAGCCCTTGTCATATGGACAACTCCTTCAGCATCTTCTCATTGACCTGTCCAGGGCACTGGTCCTGTGGGTGATGTTCATGCTACTTTACACACCTAAGCTGGTGAAGAAAAACTACAGGTCTTAAGATCACCGTCAGCTATCTTGGTTTTCTGTACAGCTTGCACTGACTTTCAAAATGTTTGCTTTAATGGTTGTGGTAGCAGGATGTTGATAACTGGGCTGTTTCCAGCTGAGCTGGTGCTTAGGAGCAACCCAGGCTGCAGATATAGGTTAGCACAACTGGAGCTGGGCCAGCCCAGAAGGCCACATCCTGGCCTGGTTACACCATTGTCCCCAGCCCTGCTGTGTTTAAAGCAGACTGGGTGGGCAAATTTGCTATACTTAATTGCAGTTAAAAGACCAGGCCCAAGAAACACATCCCATGTCTGCCTGCTGGTGGGCGAGCAGCTGCAGCTGTGGTAGCAATGTGTGGATGGTCTCCCAGCACTGATAAATGACAAATAAAATGGCCAGGTGAAACACTGCCACCAGCACTCCACAGGGGTGATGCTGCTCCTGGCGTGGTTATTTTTCCCCTGATATACTGAGCACCAGAAGCACGCACTGGCGATAATTTTTTTTCCATCCTTTCTCAGTACTCCTCCCAGTAGGCTTAAAATAGCAGTGGCCAGATAATCATTAACCACTTTGATGTACTGCAATGGGTACAGATTGGGAATTCAGAAGGAGAGGATAAAGCTGGAACAGACCTGGACTCCTGGTTCATCTCCAGCAGTACTGTCCTCCTCAGGGTAAAGCCAGTTCAGCCTGGCCTTGCCCTTGCTGCTCCTAGAGATGAGCTCCCATTAAAGCCAGAAATAGGAAACAATATTATAAATAATTGCTTAATATATTACTCTCCCCAGAGGTAGGGAAGAGTAATACATAGGGAAGAGTATTTCCCGCATATGTTGAGATGGTTATGGCTGAAGCCAGACCACCCTTCACTTTTTCTTAACTCTGTTTTTTTTTTCTAATTTAGACTTAGACAACAGCAGAAAAAAAAGTCAGGGGCCCTAAATCCAAAGCGCACTTGCTTGTTTCAGAAGAACAAGGTGGTACTGAGCAAGCTGAGGAGGAAGCTTGCAGCTGGGGAGCATTTCTCCACTAGTTGCTGACAAAGAAGAAATGCTGCTTAGGCTCATCCCAGTGATGAGATGTAACTCTACAAAGCAAAATTGCAAAAATAAGTGTTGTGAAATAGGGAATAGACCCTTCAAAGGGTCTTCGGAGAGCAGTCCCCAAAGGGAATTGGTGGGAATGCTGCTGTTTGAGCACTGGAGAATATGTTATGCAGAGCCATCTTCTACAAACCTGTAGAAACAGGCATGGGGATTTAATTTCCATCTCTGATTGCTGTGATCTGCATCTCACTTTAGGCTTGCTCTTATGTTCATGTAGCTTTTAGCAGCAGAACTCTCTGGGCAGTGAATCCTTCCTGTGTATCACAGCCGATGGTCTGTTCCTGAGCTCTCTGTACAGCCAGCAATGAGACTCCTTCTCCTTTGCTGTACAAAGGATTTATTCCTTTAATATGCCCCTGGTGTTTGTTTTTCTGCTGGTACAGGAGTGCATGTGCGTGTGTGTGCATGTGGCACTGTTTTACAAATTCCTGCTGTGGACAGAATTGGGCTTCACACTATGCAAAAATAGCTGTGCACCACATGCAAGGATATAATATTTCACACGGCTGGAGAAAATGTGATAAATAGAGTTTTTGCTGGATTTGCAAAAATGAAGTAACTGGGGGATTCATCTCCATAGTTGAGTCCTGAGGTTACAGGAGCTGGCAGAACTGTCTAGGTTGGAGCATCTCAGTTAGGGAAGAGGGACTGGGTGCCCATGGAAGTGTAGGATGTCTATGAACGTCTCTTGACTCTGAAGAGATAAGCTCAGATTTCATAGATCAATTATTACAGAGCCCAAGAAAAAGGACTCAACTTGAGTCCAGGCTGCAGCTACAGTTTTTCTCCTCTGCCTTTGCCTGGAGGTTGTTGCTCTTAGTTCCTGCTCCATTCTGCTCTGTTCCTGATCCTCCATCACCGATGCCTCCAGCTACTCGTTAGACAAAACCCAGGTCCCGCACTTAACCACTTTGAGCCCTGCAGGAGACCCTGCTGTGCAGCGAGGTGGAAAGAAAGGCAGGGATGCTGCAGAGCTGGGAGGTTTCTGCTCTACCTCCTTGTTGCTGGGGATGCACTTGTGTGCTGAGGAATGAAGCTGTTGAGAAAATAAGGCACCAGGGTCTGAGATGAGAAGGATAGACCAGAGACACAGAGCAGGGGTCCTTGTATGAGGCTAGCTCTTGCTGTGGAAGAGGTTGGCAAGATGGGAATCAGAGTAGCTGTGCTGAGCTCTGATCCTTTCCCTTTTGCATCCTGTGTGGCAGTATGTGCCAGTGTTGGCTCCTTACCACACTTGTGCTGTTCCAACAAGATCCCAGTCTCGTCAAAGGTCAAAAACATGCACAGCTGAACCTGAGCCCTCAAATTGGACCTCACATGGGCATTTTGAATGCCAAATGGTCCTTCCCACGTGCTCCTTTCTCCCATCTAATCCTTCTCTGCTTCCCTTCTTCTGGTTTGTCCTGTTCCCCCCTCCCAGGTGAAAAAGGTTCATGGGCCCTGCAACCCTCCTTTGCGTCCCTCCAGTGTGTAATGAAAACAAGTACCAAGCAGAGCTGAGGCTGGTTTTGTAACATAAGCAGTTATTTATGGTTTTGCTAAAATTTCATAGAAGATGACATTTCTAGGTCACCTAGCTGAAACAAATGAAACAATTAACATGTTTGCATTAGGTTTCATAAAAAGGAGTATCGCTTTGCCTGGTGTGGTGCTCAGTTCCACAAGTCCTGAGACCTGATGTAGTGACCTGGAAGCTGAGGTAGTTTCCCACGAGGGTTAGCAAGAGCAGGATCTGTTTCCTAATCCGAGGCAGTTGGAATGGGTGTCTTTTACTATATCCACCAATGTCCAAATCCAGGGTCAGTTGTCCCAGTGCTCCATCAGTGATAATGATGGGGCTAATCTGTGGGTGTAAGAGCAGATATCATCTCCCCAACACTGAAAGTATGATGCCAGCCTTCCCTGTCCCACAGGTATTATTCTGCCTCTAAAAGCTTTTAAATCTTGAAGCACAGCTAAATACACTATTGGGGTCTCTACTGTGGCTTTTAAACACTAAGAGTTGAGGACTAAAATGTAATGACTCTGTCCTTCCCTAAATAAAGTGATGGCAAAAAACTGTAAAATGAGATCCTGAGCTTGTGTGCAGAGAGGAATTTAGTCCCATGGAGAACAGGAAAATAGCAGATGGATCAGAATAATACTGGGTTTTCCTGGATACCTTATTTAAAGCTATGCCAGAAAAAAGTGAGCAAGCCAGGAGGTTCAGTGTTTTGGCCACCGCTCATAAATATCTCTGTCACAATCCAGGACACAATTCGTTCTCCATCTTGCTTGTTCCTAGGGTGCAAAGAGCCAGCCCTGTAGGCTATGCATTGGTATGACTGCCTGGAGGAAGTGGACAGAGAGGGAAGTGAAATTTGAGGACCTTTTCCTTGATGGACTATGAGTATGCAAAAACCTGGACCCCAGGCACACACCTGCCACCCATGGTCAGGTTTGTCCCTCCATGTCTGGGAGCACTGGGAAGGAGAGTCTTGTGTCTAACACCGCAAATGCCCACTGCTTGCCAAGTCCTGGGAATTACTGCATGGTACTGGGCTCAAGCCAGCTCCCAGGGAGGAACAGCACCTCCACAGCTGGCACAAGCCAGCCTGCACAGAAATTCCAAGGGCTGCCATATCTGTGCTCGCCCTCCTGCCTGCCTGGCCTTGAGGAAGCCGCCCTGGGCTGAGCAGGACTCCAGTCTGCAGCAGAGGCTGTCTCACAGCTATACCCACCACCAACCTCACTTTATAAAACAGGTAGCAGAGAAACAGAAACCTGAGCAGTGTACCAGTGATATCCAGTTGCCAGCAGAGCTGTGTTCGCTGGTTGTGGTCTATCTAGTGTGGGTCCTCTAGTGCCTAGTAAGAGTTGTGTTCATTTAGCTTTTCCTTTAGTGGTGATTAGGCACTTCTAATCTACCCAGCTGTCTTTTCCCACAAAAAAATGTAAGACCCAAGTATTTGAGACCATTACATCCCTGTCAATCTCTGTTCACATCAGCCAAGCATTATTAGAGGGAAAGTGAATGGAGGCAGCATGATTGCCTAAGCCAAACCAGGTAAAAAGGAACAAAGATCAAATTGGTGGATGATGGAACTTCTGCCGGGCCATGCTGTGCCACGTCGTGCTGTGCTGTGCCATGCCTGTGAGATGAGGGGAGGAGGGGAGCCTTGCTGATGCTGTCTCTCTCTTTCAGGGGGAGTTGCTGAGCCCGTGTCGATGCGATGGATCGGTGAAGTGCACACACCAGCCATGTCTGATCAAATGGATTAGCGAGAGAGGCTGCTGGAGCTGTGAGCTGTGTTACTACAAGTATCACGTCATTGCCATAAGCACAAAGAACCCTCTGCAGGTAAAGGTACTAGAGACATTTCAAAGTCTATTTATTCTTGTTTCAGTTTTTGTTTCTGTGAGCAAGTGGATTTTACCTGTGTGGGTTTTCCTTCCCTATGCACATGGATTCATATGTCTGAGACATTTAGAAAGGGTCGTCGGGGGCTGGTTCAAAGAGGCCCCATATTCTGCTCAGTGGTTCCAGGGGAATCCTTCAGGAATCAGCTTTTTTTGTCCTTGGCAATTCTTACATTCACTTGCCTTTTGCTGAAAATTCCAGTGTGACCATGATAGTGCTATAACCCCCATAGCCATTCAAATGTGTTCATCCACTGGAGACCCCTGTCTCCAGGGGGCAGAGCCATTATGGGATTTACTGCAACAGAGGACACAGTCTGTGACAGTGACAGAAGAGTATGATGAGACTCTACTTGTCTATAGTTGTTCCATCAACCTTGATCTCCTCCTGCTGAGACTCCTCTCTGCTGGCATGAAGGATGGAGGAGGCAGATGGAGGGTTCTTACAATTCTCCTCTTGCCACCTTTTTCACTTTACTGCTCTCCCATGATTGTGGCATGGCACAAGGGGTATTGACTCTGATACTCTGGTCTCTTCAAGCCTTATTCTTGGTGGGCTTTTGGAGATGTGCACACAACAGATAAAGCACATCTTGATGGAAGTGGCTGTGAAAGTCATCCAAAGACCCACCTTCTTTCTCTTCTGAGTTCAAAGGCATTGTGGTTTAATAGGCCCCACTGAGGACTGGTAATTTAAAATCAAGATTCAGAAGGGTAAAACTGTGTGACTATTAAAAGTGGGATAAGTTATCCTTAATAGCTATTGGTTTATTGCGGGAGCAACACCTGAAGATGGATTAATTGCTGTATGCCTTTGCTGAGCACCATTAATGCCTCAGAGCACATCACATCCAGGCACTACTGCTTAATTAGCATCATCTGGACTGGAGAGACATTACATTGGTTTAGAGACCAGGGTGATGTCAGTAGGGATGTCGGTCTTTACAGTTCCTGGCTCTCTGCAGGTCATGTTCTACCAGGAGGCAAGGACTGTGCTAGTGATGGTCCCTGGTTGTACAGGGTTGAGGGGGAATGCAAACTCCTGCTCTCTCCTTCAAACTGTGGCCTCTGTGTGTCTTTCTCCAGGCCTGAGGTCACTAACCACAGTGAAGAAACAGGGACAACCCTTTAGGATTTCAGACTTAAATGAAATAGGGAAATTAGGAGAGCATCATGGGTAAGATTTGCTGTTGGAAAGGAAAAAGCCTGCGTGGTCTCTGAGAGTCCCTACAGCTTCTGATTGAATTTTCTGTGAACCCTGATCTGGAGATATCAGTAGTTTAATCCCAAGCCTCAGACCCAGAGTGTTTCAATTTTTTGGCCCTAGTAACTCAGAACAGATTGAAACACAGGAGGAGGGATGTGGACAAAGCAGCATTTGTTTATTTCTGAAAAGCTGCTCCTTGACTGCCCTAATGCTTCCTATGTCTCAAGTCGAGGATGTGATGTTGAGCAGCACTGAAGGTTTGTGGGTGCAGATTTGGGAGCGTGTGTGTTGCCAGCACTGCCTTTAATTAATGACCTCCAAATGCTCTGCACTTTCAGGTTGTTTAGAGCAGTAGGTCAGTGATTTTCTTCCCATTCCTCACTCAGCTAAAATTTGTTGGAGCTGTTCACAGACAAACTCACATCCCACCTACATGTTTCAGAGCCTGTGCAAAGCATTGCTCTTTCTGGGCTCCCCTGTCAGAAAGTGGCCTGATCTGCTGGCCTTTGCCATGAACACAAAAACTGAGTGGCAGGAACAACTGAGTTAGAGAGCTCAGCTCTGGAGAGCAAAGGTTCCAGAGGACTGTACAGATCCCAGCTTGGACCTTCATGTTGCTGACTTAGACTTCACAGCACTTCTCGCAGAAGCACTGGGAGATTTGAAGGGTGGGAAGAAGCAACTGGAGTGAAAAGTCTCTTGGTTCGGAATACATGCAGCATGTGTAGAGTTACAGCTGCGTGCCTGGATGCCTGTCTGGTGCCAGCACAAAGGCACTGCTGGGAAACAGATGCTACACTAGCACTAGTTTCCAAAATGCTGTGAAAAGTGGCTGATCCACCAGGCCTGGGCTTCCCATGAGGACCAAAGGCTTGGGCCGCCCATAACCCATTACTACACATGCCTTGTTCCTCAGTGGCTCCCACCATTTGGTGAGATGCCGGGAAAGGGAGGCAGAGAGGACACAGGAGCTGCAATGCCCTGACACTGTGTCCTGTAACAACATGTCACAGCATGTGCAGGTGAGAAGAGCATCCTTTCTGCTTAGTCTTCACCCTACACGTGCATAACATGGGCCAGCTGGACATACAAGCATATCTCTAAGTAAAGCCTCAAAGTCCCTAACCTTTCTTCTCAGGGTCTGCTGGAACTTCTGCCCAGCTTTATTCTTACTAGAAATGTCTGAATTTCTCAAACACAGTTTTTGGAGCAGAAATGCTGTAAGAAGTCATGGTCATCTGTTTATTCCAGACCAACCATAATACAGGCAAGGACCCACAAACCTCACCTCCTTGTCAAGTGAATACTGTTTGGGTGATGATATGAGCCTGCCCGGATTCTAATCAACAACATGACCTACCTATCTCTTGTGTCCTCTCATCTGATAGACTGCTGGAACGCCAAACCCAGGCAGCTGGCAGGTCCAGGGCTCCCTGAAGCCTGTCCAGTTGGTCTGAGCAGAGCAGCACATCCAACACCCACATATTCCCCAGGATCTGCATGTTTCTCTGCCCATTTTGATATCTGCACAGTTTTTGGAGTGCTTAGGAGCACAGCATGGGCCAAATGTGTGTGGAGACCCATGGTGTGGGCAGAGAAGTTACAGCCGGGTTCATGCATAATTAACACAGACTCCTTCCAGCCTCCAGGCTATTATGATGTTTCATACCAGAGAGAGACCTCTAGTCTGGTATTTTGGCAGAATTACTCTCTATAAATTAACCCACTCCATCCCCTCTCCCTGGACTGCAGGCATTTAAGAGCAAAGGTCTTAAAGCAGCAACACTGCTGACCTGCTGAGACTGGGGGATTAAAGTTGTTAGACAACATGGCAGGTGTCCTGCCAAGCAGCAGTCAAACAGAAAATGAGCAAAAATATCCCACCAGCTGTGAGCAACCAGAAGATTCAGAGCTTTTGTCCATCCATCCATCCATTTTCTTGCTCTCCAGTCTTCCAGTCACCAAGACAGGAGTCATGGGCGTGGAGGCTTTAAATGCTCCTCCGATATTGCATGATAGTTGTGCAAAGCCCATGATTTTAAAAAGACCCTGAAGACACAGGTTTTTAGAAGCACATGATAGTACTGCCTGCACCCTGGTGCTGATACATAGTGAAACAGGTATCTGCCATGGAGCGGCTCTGCAGTGCATTTAATCTATACAGATCCTTTGTAGTTGCTCCTGAGCCACATCCACTCTGATGCTCTATTTTCTTCTATTTAGCAAATAGAAAATCTGTTTGAACCAACCTTCCCAGACCTTCAACTGTCTGCAGTCTTGGAGAGTTCAACTGATTTACAGTTGGTATCACTGACTCGTCCTGTGTTGTGGGCTATTTCAGCTCCAAAGATTCTCAGTTTTCCAGTGCTGGGGTTGGGATCCGGTCTCTTCTGGCTCTATTTTGTCTGTGGTGGTGCACTGTTAAGAGCTGATGAGTGCTCTTATATGGCCTCCTCATCAGGACACTCACATCTGCGTTCACAGGGTGTTTGAACTTCACTCACGCTGAGGTCACAGGGTGTTTGAACCTCAGCCTGAGATCCTGAGCTAAAAAGCCTGAGGCAAGTTTACTGATGTCTCCTGGCTGTCCCATCCTGCTGAATTGGTTGTGCTGAGTGTGAGCTCTGCCTGGTCCCTGCTGAGCTTCAGCTGTAGCTTGCAAGCAGTGGGTGCCATCATTGCAAGAGAGACTTCCTGGCCTGTGCATTATAATGGGAACTTTCTAGGATATCGATGCTTAGTCTTACCAAATGCTCTGGCACATGGAAGAGAGGGGTTTTCATCACTGCACATTTCCATTACATGGCTCTACTGGACCCTCCCTCCTCTCTGTTGCCTTTCTAGTATCTGAATAAGCCACAGCATCTGTAAGTGTACAGCAGGGAGGCTATGCCACAGAGGTGGCATAACTTTGCTTGGTGAATTTATAAAAAGAAAAGCCATCCTCCAAAAGATAATTGAGGAGGATAGCCAGGGACTTGGGACAGCAGCAAGGGGAGAGCCAGACCTAAGCAGTGCTGGAAATGATCCTTTCCAACCTTCTAGGAAAAAGCTGTTCTTGCTTGTGACCCTGGGTCTGAGAATTAAATTGCTGGCTAGCACAGCTCAGGATGTTAATGATACGTATTAAGGGGACGTGTCAGATACAGCAATAAAAATAAACTGAACTGCCTGAGGCAGGCATGGGGGAGCTCTCAGGGGAGTGTGGGAACGCTTTTCCAGCAAACAAGGCTTCATTGCAAGCTGCTGCAGCAAGACATAGACATCTTATGCAGGCAATAACTGCCTTGAATCTATCAGTGCTGGTGCTTGGGAACCTTTGAAGACTACTGGTGCCAAAGAAAGAGAAATACAGATCAAGCCCTAAATATTATAGTAATGAAATTATTCATCTGTGTTACATTAGCAGTTGCAGGTTTTCACTCCAAGCCTTCAAGCAGAAGCACCGAAGCAAACAGAGAACCAGGTTTGTCCTAAGTACTACACGTAGGTTATGAAACAGTGCAAGAGAATGAGTTACATGAGTGGCAGGCACTGGTCCCAGCTGGGCCCCTGGCTATGGTCATCACAAATGTCAGACCTGGACTCCTAAGAAACCGTTTCTGAGGCATCTGGGCTGCAGAGCTTTGCAATTTGGGCAAAATGGAGAAACTTGGGGAAATTGATCTGAGAGAGAGTGGTGTATCGCACCTGCAGATGTGGGTGGTGTGCCAAAGCACTTGGCCAAGGGAGGTGATAGCAGAGGACAGACAGACAGCTCCAGACAGCTTCTTCAGAATGGGTCAGAGGGTTGGAGCCCTTTTTCCAGTGTGGATGGCAAACCATCACAGAGAGCTGCATGGGCATACTCTAAAGCCATTGAGAGCCTGGAGCTCACAAAGCTGCTCCTGTTATCCTGCAGAAGCCTTTAAAGCTTTCTGGTACCACCAAGTCCTTAGTTCTGCCCCATTCTGCCCTGACAGAGCATCTATAGAGCTTTCTACCTGCCTAAAGGTCACATCCCTGACTGACAGCCTGGGTGAGCTGCTGGTTGTTAATGGTGCACTTCAGTGCAGCCCAGTAGCTACTGAGAACTCAACAGTCATTATCAGCTGAAGGAAGAAGGGCTCATCTTTAGATCTATCCCCACAAGGTTGGATTGCTTGACACTGTGATCTTGCTAGAGCTTGAACATTTGAGCTGGAGATTTGGAGGGAGGGGGTCGTGTATGCAGCCAGGCATTCAGACAAAGAGCTTTGCAGGTTTTAGATGTACCAGTAAAGGGACTCTGCAGTGTTGCTGAGACCTTCCTTTGCAGCTCTAGTGGTGACCCAAGGATTAACAGGGTCACCTGCCAAATCCCTGATCTGCTGGTCATAATGGCAGTGGAGAGAGGTTAAGAAAAGAGGTGATTTTCTAAGGGCTGTTATGAAATCTGAAAGGCACAGTGCTGTGATTGAGGTGGGCTCCCAAGGCCAGAAATGCAGGGACACATCAAGCCCAGCTCCTGCAGCTGGAATTCATCTGCAGTTCTACCTCTGAACAGCTCTTGGACCCTTCTGTGTGTGCACTCACTGGGTAAAAGGCTTTATCTTCTGTCTCTCCCCTTTTCTCCTCTCTGTTCAAAAACCTCATACCCTAAGTTGTGTAGCAAAATGGAATTAAAAGATGAGAAATAATTACTCTGGTTATTGGTGGCTCAAGCTAGATGTAGGGTGCTAAATCACAGTTCTTGGGGTTGCCAGAGAAGAAATACAATACTTATTACTTTATTTTTTTTCCCTGGAAAATATTAAATTCTTCTGCAAGCTGGTTATTTTCCCCAGTGTTCAGCTCTGACCCATTTACCTCCTTGCCAGAGGGTAATCACACCCCAGTGCCATCTCCTGAACAGAGTCAGGACTGCCGCTGTGTGTGTCACTGTCACTTAGTGCCAGATGCAGGGGGAGAACCTCCTGCCCCCTGCCATGGCTGACAGACTCCAGCCTCTTCATTATCACCACAGCAAACTTCCTGGCAGCCACTGCCAGCTGAGCAGTGTCAGGCAGTGTCCCTGCTGCTGCTCCAGCTTCTCTGTTCCCAACCCAGAGGAGCAGGGTTTGACGTTTGCACCCAGGTGTGACTTCTCTGCGCTCTGAGTCCCATCCCCTTTGACTGCGTATTTAGTACTGCACCTAAGCCTCCCTTTCTCTGCAAAACAGTGGTGTTGGTTGTACATAGCTGCTAGTTGTTCTAGCAGTTCCTTCTTCTTTTTCTGTCTTTAATTGCTACCTTGGAAGGACCTGTTGCCACCACAGGCCTTGCAGTGTGCCAGACAGATGGTGAGGAGTCAGTCCATTACCTCCTCGAGAGAGAGAAATGATGCAGAATGATTTGGCTGGCACAGGCGCACGCGGGTCAGTGTGAGGGACCTGCAGGAAAGCCTTCGCAGGCAGCACCAGCCTGTGCTCCCTCCACTCCCTTCCCCTCGGCATCAGCCAGTTATTGGATAGGGAGATAGGTCTGGGGAAAGCTGCAGTGGTGAAAGTGCAACCCCACACACATATCTAAGCTCCCTTCCTGGCACATGCATTTAGTCCTGGAGCTCTGAGCTGATGGCACTGCAGATTTGTCCTGCATTGGCTTATAGTGCTGTTGAGAACAAAGCTGAAGAGCCGATGGGAGGAAGGCATAGCTGCTGATCCCACCCTCAGAAAACAAATTTGGGGGCAATGGGTGCTAGGTGGCCTTTGCTCTCTTTTATGTCAAGAGAGGAGTTGCACAGCTGCGGCCTTTCTTTGACCTCCAGCACCCATGCACCCTGCCTTGACCCATTGGGACGGCTACCACCAAGCTTCCAGCCCTAAGGGGAGTCTGTTCACTACATCAACATCTTAGTGGCACAAAGAGGCCACTTGTGTGGCTGGATTTGGTGGAGGCATGGAGCAGTTTGGGCTGTGGCAGAGTGGAAATGGGCTGTTGAAGGGATCATTGAGTGTCCCCAGTATTTGGTGTTTACCTTTGGCTGGGCCAGCTGCTGGGGCAGATGATAGGAAGGGGACTGGGACTAGTGAGCCCAGAGAGGGGATTGGGTTTAGCTGAACCCAGTCCTGCTTCAGCACAGAACAAGCTCTCTCTCTGCTCAGCAGCTCTATGGCCATTTACTCTGTGGCCAACTATGAAATGGCTGGTACCACCCACCTCACTGATGCTGCACATCCATGATAGACGATTTGAGGGCTGTCTGCCCTTGCAGGATGTAAGCCAAGGAGCAAGGCTGGCAGAGGCGGAGCAATCTCCTTCCAGTTGCAGCCCGCAGACCTCAGCCTCAGGCTGAAACTCTCATCTGTTCTTCTCCAAATCCAGCCCTTTTCAGAGGAGAGCATTCAGTTCAGGGGTCTGGTCTTTGGACTGGTAGCAATGCCATGCATGCCTGTACCAGACAAGCCACCTCTTATCCTTCTTGCACTTCGATCAGGGTTCAAAGTCCTCCCTACCTTGCAGAAAACATTCCTAATTCCTGACTGACCTGGGCATTAAAGAGTAACTCAGCAACTGAACTCCTTTTTACCCTGCAGAAGGATGGGACAAGCTTGACGGGTGACCCTGCTGTCCTAGGATATGTTTGACAATCATGCAGGGTGCTGAGGTCTCAGAAGAGCTGACATTTCATGGGGACACTGGATTTGGGCGGAATCTAGGCTAAACATTTTCAATTCCTCTGAATATTCTGTACCTGCAGGAGGTTGAAGTCCATCTTTGTTTATCCTTCTGCCAGTCCCACTGCAATTTCAAGGGCATGTATCTCACAGCTAGAGGTGGCCTATATACTTGGATGCCAGGAGAGACTGTCTCTCCCCAGCCTGTTTACGTGCTTGATTTTTGATTTGAAGGAGAGGCTATGGACCACATCCCCAAGTCTTGTTAAAGACACCAATTTCTACTCTTGGTTTTATAGGGCAGTTTTCTCAGCAGTGTAAATCTGAGTGGGGAGGTTTTATGCTGGATGACAGAGAGGAGTCCAGGCTTAGGATATTTATAATTTAGCTTGTACAAAGCTATTTGACATAGTGAATGGATTTGGGGGAGTTATTTCTATTTTTTTCTTCTTCTGAGGAAGAAGCAATGACGTTTACCTTGGAATACAGCCTGAATTTGTCATCACCTAAAGGCAGGGTGTCCTGACCAGAGCAACTTGTGTTGTTTGCAGCTAGTTCTGTGGGATGTGCATTGACGCTGCAAGATCCTACCTAGGGCTGTGATCCTGCCAGATCTCACTAAGTGGCACAGAGCCAGCTCATGTGAGGCCTCTGAAAGAAAGCTTGGCTCTCTGAGATGCTTATGTGCTAGGATGCCCTGGCTGAGGATGCTGTCTGGCCTCTATTTGAGGGAGCAACTGAACTTCCTGGTTTGTGATCACCATCACAGAACTACTGTCATGGGGATGTTATTTTTGGTGTCTCACCCTTGTCTGTCATACCTCGCTCAAATCTCTATGCTTTACTGGTGAGATGCAGGATTCCTCTCCATTGCCTCTTAATCGGTGCTGTCAGGAAACATGGGGTCATGTGCTGGTGAACAACTGCCATGCTCCATCCCAGATGTGGACCAGGTAAAAGCACCTATGCTTACAGGTGCTCTTTGAGATCTCCAAAACCACCACAATGATGTAAAACAGTGACGTGCCCCAAGTAACTAATGTCTTATCTTTTTTCCTTCCTCCCTCCCTCTTGTCCCCTCTCCCTGTTGCCTCCTGTTGCAGTGGCAGGCCATCTCTCTGACAGTCATTGAGAAGGTTCAGATAGCAGCGGCCATCCTGGGTTCCCTCTTCCTCATTGCCAGTATCTCGTGGCTCATCTGGTCGACCTTCAGTCCTTCAGCCAAATGGCAGCGCCAGGACCTGCTCTTCCAGATCTGCTATGGAATGTACGGCTTCATGGACATTGTCTGTATAGGTGGGTGATCGTGTCTCACGGCGCAGCCAAGGGCGCCCACTTGCTCACCTGTGGAGAGGAGCAGGAGATGGCATGGAGAGCCAGCCCATACAGCTTGGCTTGGATTGAGCATCCATGGCTTTTCCTCCTCTTTGCTTTTATGGCACCTTCTTTACTGTCCTCTCTCCTCCTCTGGGTGGCCCCAGAGTGTCTCCTTGGCTGGGATGGCAGAGGGACCTGCAGCGAACCCACAGAGAAACAAATCTCACCTCAGATCGAAAAGTGGCTGGGGAGGTCTGGGGGAAGCTGGAAAGTATAAGGCTTTAGAGAAACTCCTTTCTATCTGGAATAGCTAGTTTAGGGACTGCCCCATGGTTGGGCATGGCAGGGTCTCTCCACATGCAGCTCCTTGGCTCTCCAACCCATTCTCTCTGCCAGGCAGAGGTGGCAGCCCCTTCTTTGGTCCACCTTGGAGCTGCAGGTTCCAACCAGGTCATGGACCAGCCTGGGGTACTTGTCAGGTTATTGGAACAGAGCAGCTCTGAGGATGAAGCCATGTCACTCACAGTGCAAATGCCCGGAGGGAGAGCAGATGCTGGCAGCCTGGTCCCAGAAGTCTCCCTGGGAGCTCAGGCTTTAGCCCTAGTGCAGTTCTGCAGGATGGGGGAATGCAGCTGCCAGTACCTGAAACAGTTACTGAAACAGTCTGGTGAACACCGGCAACCTCCAAATGTGCTCCTGAGCAGTGTCCACCTGCACAGGCCACTAGGTAACATCAGTTCAGGTGACCCTGACAGGAAGCAAAAATGGGACCAGAGACTTCTTCATGTCTGGGAACTTCCATCATTGGTATAAAGGTGGAAGGAGCCGTCCAAAAGTCAGTGGGAAAAGGCAATCTTCTTGACTTGGTGGAAATGTGTGTGTGTGTGTGTGTGGATGGAGCCATTCCAGAGGGAAGGATCACAGCCACCAGTTCAGCCCTCAGGAGAAGCAGGACAGAGCAGCAGTTGGTGAAATTTGGGTACAGAAGTAAAACAAACCCAGTGGCAGGGACAGAATTCTGGAGTGCACACCCTGGTATCTGGTTTCAAATGGCTCTTGGCTTCAGCAGCCTTCCCGCATGGGACTTGGGCCTTCCAAAACCGAGGACAATTCCTCCCACTGTTGCCACCACTGTGCTAGCAATGAGAGGTGAGCTTGGCCTGTAGAGATCATCCTGCTCCTTCATGAGATGCTGGTGGAGCTACCACATCTCCCCAGGAAGAAGTGGTGGCAAAGGGGCTGAAAGAGAGATGGGCAACACCCACATGTTGGCTGAATAGCCACTGGTGATGTCCTCTTGCTGGTGGAACTGAAAGTGGAAAAAAGCTATCCCTACACACGTATGGTGTGCATTTGTTGGCGGAGGACAGAAGTGGAGAGCTCTGGCCTGGGCAGACATCAGTAACATGATTAACTGGCTTTGATAAAGCTTCAAGAGCTGAGGGGAACTGATTAGCTCATCTGTCAATAGGAGCTAAATCCTCCCACATAGCAGAGAATAAACCATGCCAGTCTTGAATTGAAGGGGAATCAGGAAGACAGATTCAGATTTGAGGTTCATTTTTTTATTTTTCTGTTCATTTTTCTAAGGATATGGCCTCTATTTCTCTTTTCCACCTTCTCAGAGGGAAAATAAGCCCATTTGCATCTTCACCAATGTCACTATTAAACTTAATGACCTAAGCTGGGAGCTTTGACTTTTTTCCAGCCAAAGAACAAGCAGCCATCCCATTTGCAGGAAAATTTCAGAGTCGTGACTTGAGGCAGCCCCTTGTCTCATGCTCTTCCCAGCACAGCTGGGGTGCCAGGCATGCTGGCTTTCCCACAAACTCAAAAGCCAGTGGGAAGCATTACAGATGCAGTGAGTTAACATGTCTGTATGTGGGTTCTCTTGCTCAGCACTCAGAAACTACCCAGAGCTGGCTCCACTTGGGCTATGTGCAGCACGTCTGCCTGTGCTGCCAGGCAGCCCACCCATACTCAACCGGGAGAAGCGATGTTCTGGACCACGTGAACCTGTGTATCCATTTCTGTACAAAAGATCATCTGTGCCAGCACTCTGCCCCTGCCACTCCACGGTAAAACTTGCTTGTGTAGTACATCTATGTTCTTTGCAGTCCCAGCTGCTGCTGCTCCTCGCTCAGCAGTGGAGACGAAAGGAGCTCTGAGCAGTGCTAGCTGAGGTCGGGTGTTCACTGTCCTCCCTGCCTCCTCCTCTTCCTCTGCCCAGTTTGAACTTAGTGACATGAGATTTTCATGGGGATCTGTGACTCCCTGACTGTTCATGTGGTCAGGTCTCTCCTCTGAGAGACTTCTCTTTAGCCCTGCAGATTTTGGGGGGCTGCACTAGCTTGAGCCAAAAGGCTAGTCTGTCCCATTGAGAGGCCAGGCCAGGTCAGGCCAGTGGAAGTGATTCATCAGAAGTAATACTCTCCTATGAAGAAGGTCTGAGACTGTTGGGGTTGTTCAGCCTGGAGAAGAGAAGTCTCCGGGAATACCAGCTTTCCATTACATAAAAGGGCCTACAAGAGAGATGAAGAGGGACTTTTTACAAGGGCATGTAGTGATAGGACAGAGGTAATGGCTTTAATTTGAAAGAGAGTAGGTTTAGATTAGATATTAGGAAGAAATTCTTTACTGTGGGGGTGGTGAGGCACTGGAACAGGTTGCCAGAGAATTTGTGGATGCCCCATCCCTGGAAATGTTCAAGGCCAGGATGGATGGAGTTTTGAGCAACCCAATGTAGTGGAAAATATCGTTGCCCACAGCAGAGGGGTTGAAACTAGATGATCTTTAGGGTCCCTTCCAACCCAACCCATTCTGTAATTCTATGAACACCACAACTGAATTTAATTCCTCATTCATTATAGTTTTGTGCAACTGTGATGGATGCAGCAATTCCAGCTCCCTAGAAGATTTGCAGTGAGTTCTTCACTGTGGATCAGCTATTCTCCCTCTCTTTATCCTTCTCCCAAACCTGGCTGCTTCATGCAGGGTCTTTTGATTACAACTGGGCAAAGCCAGCTTTGGAGATTGAAAGTTCTGCTGCTGACTGCCAGCATGGCCCGAAGCCTCTTGTTACTCCTCCCTGGGTTTTAGTTCCACTTCTGCAAGTTCAGGATAAAACCTCTCATGGATAATTGCAGTGACAACAGATCTTGAAACACTGGAGTGCTGTCTGTGCAATCCAATGTCTCCTCCTCTGCAGTACAGCCCTTTTCTCCTTTTGCTATCCAGCCTGTGGGTGTGTAGGAAAGATTTAGGAACTATGAAATGTTCAGTCATGGGGAAAGGGCAGGACATTAGGTGCACTCAGATCACAGAGTTGTTTTTTCCAGCTAATATAACGCACACGTTGTCTGTACATTGTTTGGTGACAGGCCAGGCAGCCTTAGCTAGCAGAAGGTTATACTGTAGGTCCTACACTAATTCCAATTGTTTCTTTCTCCAGTTTGACCCCCACGTTTTGCTTTCACTGGCAGAGGAGCAGAGGTTTGAAAGACAAGGTACTTACTAAAGAGCAGATGTTCTGAAACAGAGCTCCTTCAGTTGTCTTTGAATGTCTCATGTCCACTGGGTAGCCAGGGTCATTTGTCCAGGAGGCCAGTTTATACACCCTGTCACTGGAGGTGCTCAGCAGAACACTTCCTCTGGCACTGTGGAGCCTCAGAGCTGGAGAAGTCACCAAATCTGCAGAGATCTGACTAACATCAAACAGGGAATACACACCTGCGTCAGCAACTGCACAGCTGTTTTGTGTGATCTCCTCTCTACCAAGTCATTAAGGGATTTAGGTAGCAATTTGCCTAGATAGAGGTATCTGTGGCAATTTGAATGGGTAATCTCATGGAAGAACTGGTCTTTCCAATATGGAGTCAGAGGTCACAAGTGCTCCTTTGTATGTATAGCTCCCTAAGTACAGATCATTTTGTTGTTGTTACCTTCACTTGAGCTGTACTTGATCTGTAATAGTCAGAGTGTCTCAAAGCTGAGCTCTCAAAATACGTCTGTTAACTCAGACGCTATTGATCTCTGCAACAAAATCCAGGGGTCCTGATTTTGACCCTCAGCCACCAACATTCAGTAGGACTCTCCTTTTCTTTGGATTTTGCTAGATCCTAGCATGCTCCACAAAAACAATTGGAAGGGACAGACACCATTTCCTACCTCTTCACCCACCATGGAAATAAAACTACAACCAAAATGCAACCAGTCGGCTCCTCATGACCAGCAGGACAGACGGTGTGGCTCCAAGGACCAGAAGCTATGTCCATCTGGGCAAGATGTGCAAAGATGGTCTTTCAACATTGTTCTCCCCCTTGCTCTCAGACATCTAACAGGAGGGCAGGAGGAACTGGAAAGGATTGCTTGGGATTTCTGGGAACCTCCAGTACTGGATTTTTTTTTAAGAACCTGTTGGAAATATGTCAAGAACAGGTTGCAGAGAGATGATCCCAGTTCACAAAGGAGGAACCGATTAAATGCTTCTTGATATCCAGCCAGCCTCAACATCTTTGATTCTGATCTCTTTCATCTGTGCTATATCTGGTCACATCTGTAGGACAAATAATGAGAGTTGGATTAAACTAGAACCTGGTGATGGTGCCAGCATAGGTATTGCTCTGCTGTGAAGCCACCTACAACACAAAGATTTAAGATCAAGAACCAGGAAGGGAATGAGAATTGAAATGGGGATTGTTCATTTGATTAACTGTTCTCTCCACGGTCCATGAGAGGTAAATCCAGAAAGCTGGCATAGAGATTAGCAGAAATGAGGTTATTGAAATGCACAGATAAATGGAATGAGCCTTCGTAGGCCTCAGTTACTGAGTAGGGAGAGTAGCAGCTAAGAGCTGGGCTGTAAATCCTGAGAGATGCCTGCCTGTTAATTAAATGACAGTCCTTGGAGGAGAAAGGAGGGGTTTGCCTCTCTCTCTGTCAAGGTGCAATTAGGGAAAGTCAGCATTGGTAGATTAGGG